ATTGGATGGTCGATAGCGACATGGAACCCCCATAGGTTCCAGTATGGGGTCCACTCATTGGGTTTATGAAGGGCCAACAATTTGGCTCGAAGAAAGATTTGCGGCACGCCATTAATACTGAAGTAATGACTCGGCATTTTAAATGGCACACAACTCATTCCAACACAAAAAGGCTCATAGTCAGATGTCGTAATCATAACGAGGGATGCAATGTTAGGATTCAGGCCATCAACAACAAGAGACACGGCCATTGGGTCATATCCCGTGCAGTGAACACACACACACACACACACATGTGTGTCATCCATAACATCCCAAGGCCATCAACAGTTAAAATCCAGGGTGGTTGCGACGGCTATCAAGCATCTAATTGAGCAAGATACTGACCTGAAGGTTGAAGTCATAATCACTATTGGGAAGAATCATATGCATTCCTTCCCAGGTTGATTTTGGCATTGGAGGCGTCTAACCCTGGAACTGTTTTCTCCCCTCGATACCAAGATGAAGAGATACAACCGCCAGAGCCATGTAACAAACGCCATTTCAGACGACTTTTTTGGGCATTCAAGCCATCTATTGATGGTTTTGGCTTCTGTGTCCATGTGATCCAAGTGGATGGTACATTCCTTACCGACAAATACAAGGGCTCTCTCCTGATTTCCAGTGGGGCGGATGCAAACAGACAAGTCTTTCCTTTAGCCTTAGCCATTGTTGAGGGAGAGAATACTGATAGTTATGGATGGTTTTTCTGGCAAATTCAGCTCCATGTCACTAGGAGGACGAACCTGATAATAATCTATGATCTGCACGACAACATTAGAGCTGTCATCTTAGGTTTGGATCCAGCATGGAAGTGGTCCCAAAGGTGGTGAATACGACACTTCAAGAGCAACTGGAACCATCATTTCAAGCGAAAGAAGCTTGCTGATAATTTGTGGTTGATTGGTAAGCTCTCGATTGGTTGTTTAATTTTGTCAAATAACAATATCTTATATCAATGAACGATGCTGCACTTGTTACTCTTTCTAAAGAGATGCATGCTTAAGTAAATGGGGTCTGGTAATTTTTCTCGAGGCGCTGACCGCACCTGCAAGCTGCGGTCTTCAATCCATGGCGCGGATCGCTGAGGTGGCGTGCGGTCCGCCGTTGGATCGCCGCCTCATCCAACGCTCTCTAAGGCCGCAGGCGAGGAAACACAAACTGCACCTGCCTAGTGCGGTTCCCTAGCTGACGTGGCATGAACCGCACCTCCAAGGTGCGGTTTCTTTAAAATGATGTTATTTTGTAATTTTTATGGACTGGGTACTATTTTTTTAAAAAAATTTAAAAGATGCTATTATTGAAAAAATTCCACTTAAACTCAACTCTCAACCATCGAGTTCCACGTCCATTTTAATTCACCATCCACTTCCTATCAAAATACCAAATCTCACCCAAGCCCAAACCCAATATTAACGTCAACTAGACAACTACCAACCCCAACCACACCCTCTTTATCCTTACCCCAAATTCAAAAGACTCTTTTCCAAACCCCTCGCCATTTTTCACCATAAACCCCCTCGCCTACACTTTATTTTCATCTACAATATTATTATCCCCACAAAGCTCTCCCAGCCACCAAGTTAAACTATTTCCTTATTTGAAGCCACAACCACAATTTTCACCATCCAATCCCTAGCTCGATACACCGAGCTCTCTAAACATGATAGCTCTACCATCTCCCCAGTTACCGGGAGCGGATCAGGTCAGTAACTCTATGGTTAGTAACCATGAGTAACCTGTCCACATCAGCATGACATCAGTAGCCTCTCTCTCCTGGAAAGTCTTTTATCTTTTCCCCTTTAATCTTTAACGGATGATTTCTCTCTCGTTTTAAGTCGAAAATTAATTTTTTTGCACAGATGAATCAGATTAAATATGCTCTTTAAAATGATATCCACTTTGATATATTTTTAGTACAAAAAAATTGAATAATTTTTTACCAGTCATTACCATATGGTATGCTCCAATTTAATACCATATGGTAAGAAATCGTACCATGTTGGTATGAGTATGAACATAAAAATATGGTAAGAAGGTTGAATACATGATAGTAGGAGTATATTAACTGTCATTTACGACTTTCATCATTGTTTACTACAAGTTACCACAAGTTACCAATCACATATCATAGTGGTAAAGTATGGTAAGTTTTGATCCAGTATTTTTTTCAACAAGAAATTTATAGATCCAATAGATCATGATGAACTCGTTCCTTTTGAGCAAACGTTTTCAAAAACGACTTAAAAACGAAGAAGTTACCATATAGTATGTAGTTGGTAAAAAAAAGAAGTTTCTCGAAATATATTGAAAATTGATCTCATTTTGTAGAGAACAACGAACTTGTTCCATCTATGCAAAAAAAAATTGAAATCCGAGTTAGAACGAAGAAGATAAGAGCCAATTAAGAAAACTAGGGAAAATAAAATGCCTTTAATTGACAACCCTTAAATCTGAATTTTCTGGACCCACTTAAATCTAAAGGTCCAGATTTAGTTACTCATAGATTAGTAACCATTGGTTACTGACCCTATCCTAAGCCCCAGCCACCAGAATCTCCAACAGTCATCATCCCTATTGCAGGTTTCCCCACCAACCTTTCTACAACGCCCTGCTGCAGCTCCCTTCTGACGAAGCCAAAATCTCCTCCTTGTCCCAACAACTCTTCTCCTACAACCCCAAATTTCATATCTCATATCCAACCATCAACCACAAACCTAATGCAAACTACGACCCCTTCCTTATCGCGAGCAAGGACCGTTGGATCCAACCGACTTGTACGACCAACCCAACCATCGGTCAAGGGATGTTTGGAACGATCACCCGGTACATACAATTCATCATCATTTGTCTTTCCTTTATTTTGCTAATGTATTTAGTTGAATATAAAATAAATTTATGTTGAATTTTTAATCGTGTTGGTTGTTTTCAATAATTTAATCGAATACATAGCACCACTTACTTCGACTCTTTTATAAAGAGATGCACGTCTAAGGAAACAGGGTTTTAAGCGATTATCATATCCTCCCATTGACTGGGAAAATCGAGTATTAAGAGATCCTCGGATCCCCCTTTTTCTGTCAAAAAGACTATGTTTCTAAGAAGATGCATACCTCTTCTAAAGGTCTAACGAGTGTTGCTCTGTATTCGATTAAATTATTTAAAACAACCAATACGATTAAATTATTTACCAAACAACCCATACTATTTATTTTTATGTGTACAAAATGAATTTTATTAATTTCAAACATTTGAATATGTATGTTTCTCTTTAAATTATTATTCATTTACAATGTTATTTATGTTAATTAATTTAGTATGTTTGTTTTATGATAATATGTATGTATCTCTTTAAATTATTATTGATTTAGAATGTTATTATGTTAATTATATTAAATTTATTTTTATGATAATAAAATTCTGCTTGAAGTTAAATAATTTAATTAATTTAGTTATAAGAAAAAAACCTTACTAATATATAATAATTAACGTGTACATTTTCGCTAGGAGGCACAAACAATACTCCGCTACAGGGGTACGACCAATGTGCTCTCATTCCACCCAGCTATCTTGCTGTAACATCCCGACCTTTTCCCGACGAAGATACTGTCCGCTTTGGGCCTCTCCACCCGCACGGATTTCGACTTGGGGTGCAATTTAGGGTGACTTCCCATAAGGTCACCCATCCTTGTTGTGCTCCACACTGAGCACGTTTAACTTCGAAGTTCTAACAAGAACTCCTCCATTACACCCCAAAACGCGTCTTGTCAGTTAAGGCCGGTTTCCTACTTATGAACCATGGATCTCTCCTGTGCTTTGTCGATGTGGGATTTTCCTAAGGTGTTACATACACCCCCCTTGGGACTCAACGCCCTCGTTTAGGTTTGGCCCACCATCATTCAAGAGGGACGCGGAGAGGCTCTGATACCACTTGTAACATCCCGGCCTTTTCCCGACGAAGATATTGTCCGCTTTGGGCCTCTCCACCCGCACGGATTTCGACTTGGGGTGCCATTCAGGGTGACTTCTCATAAGGTCACCCATCCTTGTTGTACTCCACACTGAGCACGTTTAACTTCGAAGTTCTCACAAGAACTCCTCCATTACACCCCAGAACGCTTCTTGTCAGTTAAGGCCAGTTTTCTACTTATGAACCATGGATCTCTCCCGTGCTTTGTCGATGTGGGATTTGCCTAAGGTGTTACATAGCATAACTGCTGCTCTATCTCAAAATATCTCAAAAGGCAACGGACTGGCGCTAGTGACTAAAAACACTTAAATTGACTTCACCTTCTTGAAGGTGAGTTACTTCTTAAAAAGACATTGTTTATTAAACTTTAACAATAACTCATAACATAACGATTTAAGGTAAATGGCACAAAATCACCTCAAATCACCTCAATCATAGCTCAAGCAAAGCACAAATAATCAAGCAACGGTAACCAATTCGCTAAAATACTTAAAATCATAATACTTAAAAGAATACGTAAGGCGTAGAATTTACCCCCTTTACACTCACCTCTAATCCATCGAAACCAACTCTGAATCTGCTCTAAAATTTCTATACTTGCTCCAATTAAATTCTCCTCGTTCACACGATTCCATAGGCGCTGATGATTCCTCGTTCGGACGTCAATTGATCGAGTTATGACCAAAATAAATATTCTGTCAGCTTAAAAGTTCCAGGTACCGAAATTGCAATTTTTCCAGTCAACATAGTTGAACACGACTCTGTTGTAAAATTACCGAAATGATCCACAAACTTTTCAAATTGTCCGTAGCGGTACCTGAACTTGACAGATTTTCATCCAAACTTTCGATGCTCGTTTCTCCCTCGTATGACTTCAAAATCCGATTTTGTCGACGCGGTGATGATCCTAGGATTTCCCTCTACGAGATGATACCCACCACTTGAAGAATGGTCGAATTCGGCTACGCGGGGCCGTCGACGGAGCTCAAAAATGTCGGAGGATACGCTATCGTCGATGGTGGCGTGGAGGTTTGGCATTCGGGGTAGGGACTGCCGGCGACCCGAGCGGTTCCCGTCATCTGCTGCTGGTGAGGTGAAGACGTGGAGTTTTGACGCACGGTGCCGGAGGAAAGACGAAGGCGTCGGTGGTTCCTTTCCACAACTTGCCGCGCTACTGCTTCTCTATCTCTCTTCGGGCCAACAAAATAATGGCGGTGGTAAAGCTAGGGTAGCGGCGGTGTCACAGCAAGGTGAAAGCTAGGGTTAGGGAAAAAGGGTTTCTCGGTTTGCAAGCTCGAACTGGGGAATTAATCAGGTCCGAGCGGTTCCTTCCCTTTAATAATTTTTTTAAATAATAATAATAATATTATTATTATTATTCATAATCCGCGGTTGCAACCTTTCGTACGTAACCATTAACCCAAACGTTCACGTATTTTGGTTGAACCTGAACCCAAAGTCGGGGTGTTACATTTCCTCCACCCTTATAAAAATTCCGTCCCCGAAATTTTACTGCCATCAGATGTGACACACCGCGAGATGTTTGATGCGTATGAGTCTGGAAATTTTATCGTTTTAATCAATTCACACAATTTCCTTCTATCTGCCAACTTTAAAGTGTAGCAGGCAGGTGGCATCCATACCTTAGAACCGTCCCTCTGCAGATGCAACTCGGGCCTAATTTCCATCAGCTCTAAATCCTTCCTAGCATTTTCAGAATCTTTGGTTTTCCCATCCATATCCATAAGCGTTCCCAACACATTTTCACTAATGTTCTTCTCTATATGCATTACATCTAGATTATGTCGCAACTTAATGGTTTTCCAGTAAGGTAAACCCCAAAATGCAGCCCTTGTTCTCCAATTTAACGAATTAGGTAGCTTCCTTCTTTTATGACTCTGACTGGTGTTAAGATCTCTCTCGGTACCAAAAATGGAGTCCAATTGACTCACTGCATTTTCAGCATACATAATATTAGGGGCAGGTCTATTTTCTATCGTACCATCAAATTTCCTACTTCTTCTCCAATGATGACTTTTATCCAACCACCTTTGATGGGACATATAGCACTCTTTCTTACCATATTTTAAACGAAAAGAATATGTTTCGCTACTACATACTGGACAAGCCAATTTTCCCTTAGTAGTCCACCCAGACAACATTCCATATGCAGGGAAATCATTGATTGTCCATAAAAGAGCAGCATATAACTGAAAATATTGACCCGTATGTGCATCAAATGTTCTGACCCAACAGTCCATAACTCATTCAGTTGTTCTATTAACGGTTCTAGGAAGACATGTATCTTGTTACCAGGAGACTCTTCACCAGGAATAAGAACACTCAAAAACATTACAGACTCCTTCATACACAACCAGGGGGGGCAGATTATATGGTGTCACAACCACTGACCACATACTATAACTGCTAGACATGTTACCAAAGGAATTGAAACCATCACTGGACAATGCTAGTCGAACATTTCTAGGATCAGCAGCAAACCAAGCATGATGCCTATCAAATTTCTTCCATGTCTCCCCATCAGCTGGGTTCCTAAGGACCTCATCATCAACCCTTTTATCCTTGTGCCATCTCATATCTCTAGCTAGATCCTTAGTTGTAAACAACCTCTGCAACCTATCCTTTAATGGGAAGTATCTTACCCTTTTCCAGCCACCTTATTGCCTTTGCCATTATCAGGTTTATCTCTAGATTTTCTACACACTGGTCAGGTATCTGCCCCTTGCAAAGCCCCTCTAAATAGCACACAATTTTCAGGGCAGGCATCTATAACGTAATAATGGAACCCCAGATCCTTCATATACTTCCTCACTCCATAATATGAACTAGGTAAAGTGTCTCCATTTGGTAAAGCATCCTTTACCAACTCTAAATTCATATTAAATTATTTGTTGCTACTGTTGGTAACTATTTTATTGTTCAACATTTTCACAAGGAATGAAAGTTTAGAATACTTCTCGCAACCTGGAAAAAGAGGCTGCTGAGAATCTTTAATTAAGCGTTCAATTTTAGTTGTTGTACACGAATTAGTAGAAGAAGCACCCTCAATCGGACTTGCATCATCCCTAGCTCTAAGAACATCCTCTAGCATTTCATGGATGTCTGAATCCATACCATCAGGAAGACTTTCAAACACAGTATGTACATTGCTAGTATGGATAGCCTGAAAAGGCTCGATGGACCCACACCGTATAATCCGGCATAAATCCATACAAGAATATGTCATTATTCACTTCTGATATCTTCTTAAAGCTAGTGTTGTTGCATTTCTTGCAGGGGCATCTAATTCTACCCAAAGCATCAGCAAAAGGAGTTGCAAAACTCAAGAAATGTTTTACCCTAGCTACATATTGTGGACAGAATTTGTCTTTCAATTTCACCCAATTTTTATCCATAGGTTCTGCGTGAAAATAACACTAACCTTCTGTTGAGTTCTAAGCCTTAATCCACACACCAAGCTCATCCTCAATCAACCCTACCAATTCACCTGTACAATACAAAAAAAGGTCAAGAAATTGAGAATCTAATTGGCAGATAATCAAAACCAACAACAACAAATTATCAATGAAAGAAGAGTTGTGCCATTATCAGTCTAATTCAATGGCAATGAGCAAAGATCAGTGTCTATTCCAGATCACTGGCAGTGCCTAAAATCAAACCAACAGCCTCTACTATACATCGTCTTCATATAATAAAGCCCTTAAAATCCCTAGTCGTCAGTCCCTAAAACCCATAGCATTCAAACCCTAAAATCTAACATGATTTTCCCTTCCCAGAACCCTGCAAATCGAATGAGATAAGAGAGGAAGAGAAGATTCTCTCCATTCCATATGGAAGGAAGATGACAACAATGACCGAAACCAAAAACTCTCACAATCGAAAGACCCGACAAACGACAACGAAGATGAAATCCGATCATCGCAATTGGCAGGGAGAGGAAGGGGCACATGCAAACGGATATTCGCTCCATTGTTGATGGAAGGACGACGCCGACGATGACCAAAATCAAAACAAACTCCATATGGAAGGAAGACGCCGACCCATTCTAGTAGTCGAAGATGAAGACAACGATTGGCCTAATTTTGATTCAACACGAACTGGCATGCAATTGGCAGAACAAAAAAATCAAGCTATGGAACAGAGGGATACCTTCGTCGGAAGCTGAACTGATGAGTGTGGGAAATCGACGGCTTTCAGGAGGAGAGGAGCTAGGCCGATTTTGGATTCTGGAACTAGGTTTTTGAAGAGGGGTAAAAGGAGGTATGAATTTTGGAGAGTGAAAAACGAGAGGGGAACGAAAACCTCACCCACGCGTTAGATAATCTCAATCTATTTTCCAATGCAGAAAAGGAAAATATAAAAACAAATTACAATGTGACAAAACATTAATTTTGTCATATTCCACATAAATATTTCCCTCCTATCTTTCCCGCCAACTGAAATTCCAATCAATGTGACAATATAGTTTGTCACATTGCAATTTAACGGTATATAAAGTGACAAACCATACTGTGACGAATAGTTTTGTCACACTATAGAACTGTGAATCATCTGACCCGAAGTTATTGTGACACCACAACTTTTGTCATAACAAATATTTGTTATGACAAATAGTTATGACAAAAATCAAATTTGTCACAATATCTGACTATATTATGACGAAATTACATTTTGTCACATTATATACTCTGTGGTGACAAAGTAAAAAATGACAAATTATAATTTTGTCACCATAGACCATATTTGTTGTAGTGTACGAATCAACCTGATAGCAAGCTTTGTTGTCGTGTGTCTAGAAAATGGATTGCTTACAATTCTAAGAAGGATAGCATTATCTGCTTGGAATTCGTCTTCATAGATGTTGAGGTACTTCTACTATCGCACTCCCTTTTGCATTACACTCTTTATGTTTGTCGAATGCTGAACTATTTTAATGGGTCTTTAGGGAACTGATATATGGGTTCGAGTCCCTAAGGATATAATGAAGAACTTCCAAGACCGAGTCGAGGAGCAAAGGTTTTATGAGTTCTCAAAATTTTCAGTCAAGCTCACACAGAAGAACTATCGTCCAGTTGGTAATCCATTAATGATTGAGTTCACTGAAGCAATTGTTTTTCGACTGATAGACGACATTCCAGCCACCCCAACTTATAAGTTCAGATTCCTGAAAAACATCTTACCTTCCAGCTTATAACAATAAAGCTCATGATCTCATGGGCGAGTGTTTTTGTTTGATTTTGCTAGACGCCTTTATCAATTGTATTCTAAAGGGTTGAATTCCACTTATGCAAGCAAACGCCTATGGAGTGTTGAAAAGCTATGGACCAATTGAAACCCCCGAATCATCAACAAATAGGACTCCACGAAGGGATATGACAATCCAGTTTTCTGAGTAACTTCTTAACTACACTCAACTGGTCAAAGTAGTAAATTTGGTTTTAAGGACTGGTGTTAATTTTAGTATCCACTCGCAATAGGAGATGTTGATGAAAATCGTTGCTCTGCACCCGTTATAGAAATGATTTCAAATGCATGTTGTTTTTCTTTTTACTTGAATTTTAGTTTACCTCTCATTTGTTCTATTGTCATTACAAATGAAAATCCCATTTTTTTCCCTGGAAACACATAACCTGAATCACTCAAACCTAATGAAAAAATCTGATGTGAATTTAAAAGTTCAATTCATTTCAATTTGATACACATTAACTACCTGTAGCTCATATACGCCTGTTGCCAATTACTTTTTTAGTTAGGGATTCTGTTATTGAATGAAATTGTGGGTGTTTGCCAATTGAATATGAAGTACTTTCTGACTATAACGCATTACCATTTAGATTTTACTTAGTATCTATTGTCTACACTATATGATAATTATTACTAGGCCTTGCTTTTCCAGCAGTAAGAGCTAAAAGTATCTATTACTGAGCTTAATTGAAATGATTTTCTAACTACTTTAGCATATACCTTTTTAGCTGCTGGTTATTTGACCTAGACACGACAATACAAATTAGTTTTTACTTGCTATCTAAGGCTTATTACGTAGGTAACGAACAAGTTTCTATACCTAGCTACAAGATTCTATGATAAGCATTACCAATTACTATTACCAAGTTGAATTCAACCCCATTCCTATCTCATGTTTTGCTGACTAACCTTGACTTTAAGTATTTTTCATTTACCTCACACACATGGGTCACTTACGACTGTAGTGTTTCTCATCTATACCAAACTAAATTGTAACAAAATTTTATCCATAATATTCATATGCACTTAAACCATTGTTTGTGTAACAAAACTAAATACATTGGTTTTGTCAAATGCAGTGGGCACATTATTATGGTCTCATTGTGGGGAAGAACAATGACTCAGCTGGATAGTATTGTTGACCCCACAGGAAATTCAACTACTGTTGTCGTAGCTACGTCTTTGTTCGTCAAAATATGGAATAGTAAGTAGTAATTCGGTTGTACTTTGTTTTAATTTTTATGCCATCACCCATGGTGCTCTCTTCTTCTTTACAACATATTCTGTAATTCGCTTCGGACGTTATACATTTCTTCAATTGCTTATTCTAAACCCCTTTCACTGCAGAGCAATTCTATTTATCATCGTCAAGTGCCACAAGACTGTATGCCAATCTGAATATTCCAGAAGTTGTTGCTGAACAAGAACGGTAATGCATATATTATTCCGTAATTATTTATTTTCCTAATGCTTTATATTTGCAATGGGGTCTATGTTTACTTTGCCGATTCTGTTAGGCTTCCTCGAAACAATGCACCACAGTTTATTGCTGCTGACCGAGCTCCAATAGTCATTCCAAATGTTACCATTGAAGAGCTGTTGGCACTGAGATGTGGAAACAAAGAACAGGTCATTAACCATTCCATAACACAACTTCGTGAATTACATTATCCATTTTTATTCATTTAATTCACCCATTTTTACTCCCCAATCCAAATATTATTGGACAGAAAACTTTGGAATTGGACTGTGTTGTTTCAAGCATCAAAGAAAACTGTTATTACAACGGTGTGCTACTGCAAACTGTCGTCGTTTGGTTCGAGAAGAAGTTGATGGTTTCTTCTGTGGAAAATGCAAAACAACGACAAAGGAATCTGTGAAACGGTATGCATTTCTAACCAAAATGCTTTACAAATGGTATAACTTCTCTTTCATAGCACCAATTGTTCTTGGAAGTATATAACCAACTCTTTTTTGTTAGAGTGAAAAGGAAAGCAAAGGCTTTATATAGGTTTGTCGTCAATGACTTTATGGCACATAATAGATATAATAGTAAGGAAATTATTTGGCTGGTCAATATACATGCTGGTTATCAACAAAATTGCATAGTTATATCAGCGTTGTTACAAATAATATTTCCCAAAGCAGCTGAATATCGCTGTATTTGGATGTGCATCTGAATTTGTGTTTTGTAATTACTTTTCACAAACGCTTTATATGAAACCCTGTTTATATCAATGCGTACATGTTCATGGTTAGGTTCTGAGATAGTTTCCTTGCACAATTAGGGGTGGGCAACGGGACGGGACGGGATACCAGTCCCGCTTTAAACGGGTACCCAGTCCCATTTGGAGACCAAAGTCCATCCCATATCCCAAACTCATATGGGAAATGGGTACCCATTACCCGTACGGGACGGATAACGGGTACACATACTACCCATAAATACCCAAACTTTAAACCACTAAAATTTTAACAAAAGTTTAAACTTAACTTGTATTTGCTTAACAATCACAAGACACAAAATACATTCCAATCAAAAATACTTGGTTTGCAAATTACACATTCATGAACAATCACAACACATAGAAATAAATCATTCCAAGCACCAAATTATCAAAAAAGAAGTTTCATTCAACACAACCAAATGGGAGGCATGCTGCTACTTTCTGCAAGCTGCTGCGGCAGCCAGGGGCGGACCCAGGGGGTTTAGGGGTGTCCCCGGACACCCCTAAATTTTTTGAAAATGAATATCCAACCCCCGGTAATAATTTACGTATGGACAAAAAAAATTGATAGTGAGGGACACCCCTTAAATTTGAAAAAATGATTATCCTTATATCATTTGTGTATAGGAACATAAGTGGTAGGTTGGATAATTCAAATCTAGAACACTATTATTATTAATAAACTTAATTTCCGTTGAGCTAAACTCATTTGTTGTTCGATTTTGAACAATGTGAGTAAAATGACATTCCATATCTCTAATTATTTGATTTTATGATTGTATGGCAAGTGTTGAAAGAGTCTTTCGGCTTTGGGTTACATCAAGAACAAGTTTACAAATCGAATATGCGATAAGTTCGTGAATGATTGTCTAGTAGTGTATATAAAGAGAATTTTTTTAACACAATATACACCAAGTGTATTCTACAATTATTTCGGAATATGAAAACATATCATGGACTTTTTTAACCTATACGAGTAAGGTATTTTCATATTTACAATTTTATTTTTATTAATTATTTATTTTTAAAAGAGGACACCCCTACGAAAAAATTCTAGGTCCACCACTGGCTGCAGCAGTTCTGCCTTCTCCAGGCTGCTGCTGCTGATGCTCCCTTCTGCAGGCTGTTGCTGCCATTCTCGCTTCTGCAGCTGCAACTGTCCTTCACGGCTTCACCTGTTGCTGTCCTGCAAAGGAGATAGTTTAATTTGTATGTAGTATTTGCTAAAAATATATTGAGAGTCAGTGTGTTTATGTTGTATGTAGTGTTTACAAAACCAAATTTGAGACTCGGGTGTTTTAAAGTGTTGTAGTTAAATCTCCCTTTTCAGTTTCCAGGGCTCACCAAAATGTGTACTGCTGCTATAGCTTGAATGAAACAGAATTGAGTCATTACCTACCATAGCATTGCCAACTCAAACATCATAAGATTTGAATATTTACAGGGGGTGGCATTCATGGACTATATACCTCGGATCATAAAACGAGACAGGAGACCGAGAAAGAGAGAGAGTTGCTGCCGGGCGGGTGAGTCCTTAAGCAGAGCTGCCGTCGGGTGAGTGCTGCTGGACGTTCGCGGACTCGCGGTGCTCCACTGCTCCTGGCTAGCTGCTCCTGGCCGCCAGGTGAGAAGAAGGAAGCCGCCACCCGCGGCAGTGAACGAAGGAAGAAGCAGAGGTGCGGTCGTGCGGAGGCGGAGCACTAGGTCTCGTTGAGTCGCTGTCGACGGTCTCTGACTGAGTCTCTCCGTCTGAGACTGAAATTGAAAGGCTTAGTGAAAGGCCGAAAGGGAATTGAAAGGCAAAAAGGCCGAAATGGCCAAGGCGTGAATTACGGAATTAGTGAATTGGGGCATTGGGCTGGGCTGTGCCACTGTCACTGTGGGCTAAAATTCCATCTGCCTTTTGAATGGGTATAATGGGTGTTGGCACCCATTTTTGTCCGGATTTTTCTAAACTAAATAATTTCGTTTGAAATGAATTTTTCAACGAATAGTTCAAATTTCAATACAAAAATTAAAATACAAGAAGTTCTCATACGCATTCGACTTTAATTCGAGTTTGATAAGTGTTTATTACATATTTGGTCTCGAGGACTAGTCTAACTAAATTCGAGTTTGATAAGTCATACAAAAAAGGAGGGCTCAACCCATTACACAATAATCAGCACTGTGAACCCGGTCGGATCTGGTCCAAACCGAACTAGTTTGCCCCGACCCCATCTGCTTCTCCTCTGCGCTTCCATCCCCATTTGATGCCTGCAAAAAAACCCAGAAGATAGAGTAGACCTCCATGATATGTGAGCTGTGATGAGGCAGGGATATAATGGAGGAAGAGAAAACGGATCTGGGAAATTGATTGAAGGATTGGGTTTTAGGTTAGGTGGTTGAGGTTCTGATGTGTATAAGAAGAAGAAGGCCATCGATGAGGAGGGGGAGGGGAGATCGGCCAGTTTTGTTCAATCTTGGATCGATAATTCCATTCCCAGAAATCCCTCCATCCACAGGTTATCACTCCCAAACCACAACTCCATCCTTGCCATTTCTTTCGGCTAAACACAGAACACAAACAATAAATCCAGAAAAACCATTCCTGGCTAGCAACCATTCATCTTTTCATAAAGAAAATCCAAACACCATTCCATAGAACGATTCCAAACTTAGATAGATAAAGAACCTAACACTCTATTCTGTGTTAGCAATAAAAAGGAATCACCTTCGTCTGACCATCAACGCTAGCGCCACCGCTCGCCTCCTTCACTGCACTACCGCACTCTGCAGTACTCCCTCGTTGCTTACCCTGACCTTCCCCCCGAGCTTGGCCGTCGTTGACTCCGGATCCCGCCACCACCAGGCCGCCGCTGAGCCTTTCCCGTCGTTGATCCATGCCAGACCGCCATCACCACCAGTCAATCTCTTTGCCGCATCACAAAACACCACCGTCGCTCTCGTACCGCACCGCTAGGAGATCGCCACGTCTTCATCATCGTCGCCGCCTCTCCCATCACCAAACCATTGTGCCGCTGCCGTTGATCTGTGCCGCTGTAGTCAGCTGCTGCTGTGGTCGCCTCGGAAGAAGGAGAGTGAGAGGGTAGCGGCGCTCGGATAAAAGAAAGAAGAGGAAGAAGGCCGCATTTCATCTGGGAAGAGAGGTAGGGATTTTCGTCACTTTTGCTTAAATTCTAAATTACCACACTAGCCTCGTAATTTTAGGTAATTTACAGAAAATACCACAATAAAACCACAGATTTGGTCCCCCAATTCTCTACGTCACCGAAAATAACCATCCCTTTAATAAGAACTTGCAATAATTTAATTGGTACCCGTTTCTCATAGTCGAACCAAAATTTCAAGCTCAGTAGTATGAGTGATTAACCACCAAGCCTAGCAATTTATCTCGTTGGCTAATTGCTACTATACTTGATTAATTGTGTTTTACAGTTCAATTAGTTCAATCAACACATAATTATTTAAATTTTGAATTAGGAACGGATGCGTCATGCGTTCCTTAAATTATTTAACCATATGATATCTCAATTCAATTCTTCAAAATTAATGTCAATCGAACTACGCGGACTTTGATCCCGAGATGTCGGGTACGTAGGCGACCGAAAGGTTCAAGTCCATTCCTAAAATATTATTTTAACCGATTAAATCATTACCGATGGGTACATGATCAACTTATTACCTAACCTCTTTTAAACATATTACTATCGATGGATTGTGTTCAGATCAATAAACTATTACGCGCCGATGGGTACGTGATCAATATTCATTTAATTTATCTCAAACAAATTACGATCGATGGATCGTCATCCAATTAAGCAACTATTACGTACCGATGGGAACGTAAGCAAATGTTTTAAAACAAGTCAACACTGGGCGAACTACGAGGGCTTTGATCCCGAGATGTCGGGTACGTACGCGGCCTACGGGTCCAAGTCCACTAATAAAACAAAACCCTTTTCCCTAAAATTACCAAAAATATATACTAATTCTTCCCACTCAATTACATGTTGATGAACATGTAATTATCTTAAAAATGACATCACATATGTAAGGCCAAATAATTTCAAACAAACAAAATATCGAATAAAAAGACAAATCAAACTTATAGTACCGACTTAGGGCGATGTATGGGTGCTAATACCTTCCTTACTCGTAACCGACCCCCGAACCCATAAATCTATTTCGCAGACTTAGCCGAGTTTAAATCTTCACCGATTTAAGCTTGACTTCCCAAGTGTCCAATCCACTTTGAGAGATTGGTGGCGACTCCTCTTTTTCGCGCCGCGTCGCGGACGGACTGTTTGCGACAATGGGTACCCATATACCCAAACGGGTATTTGCGGGTAACCCGCGGGTACCCATATTAGGAATGTACAATCCCAAGTCTCATCCGTTTATAATATTACAGGTAATATGGGTACCCGTAACCCTTAAAAAATGGGACGGGTACGGGTATACCCAAATACCTGTTTCACGTTGCCCATCCCTATGCACAATGACCTTTTCCCAAAAGATTAAAGTCCTTTAGCAATCGATCTGTATTCATTGTTAATTAACTGTGTTGCACATTGCTTACAGGTTTTGGATTGTCATAGTCATTTGTGACCAAACGGACTCAACCGAACTGGTTTTGCTTGATCACACTGCCCAAAAACATTTTGACATTTCTTCCCAAATACTGTTTACTCAGACAGAAGGTGATGTCAGTGCCCCACCTCCAAAATTACTTGAGCTTCAAGGAAACCAACTCAAGTTGCATGTACGGATTAGTGACTACGACTTTGCCAACCCTTCCAGTAGGCTTACTATCATGAGTATTCTAGAAGCGAAAGAAACTACTAGAAGAACTCAAGCTACTACCTAGGAAAATGAGGTTTGTTTATTGAAAATCATTAATCATATCTTAATGTGCTTTCTTTCTTATGCTAGTACTGCTACTCCTTTGTCAAATTTTTAAAACTTAATTGTGCTTATGGCTTTCATTTAGGCTCACATCCAAAGCACCCATTGTCTAGCCTATCTTTGACTATCTGTGGATCCCCGCCAAGATCACCAACACAAGTATCACCTGACAACATTGCGTCTGGGGTGCTGACTCCAAAAAAGATGGTCTGGCCAACGGAACACCTACCACTAACTCCAAACGAAAGCACGACGCCATTGTTGAGTGCGACGAGTAGGGCGAAGTCTCTTCTACTATACCCTATCACCAACCATCATTCCCAACTAGCATTTCCCTTTTTATTTCTTTCGTATCACTTACTATGGTGAGAACATAGACAGATCTAATAGTCATAGACTATAAGGTTCTTTCCCTTTTGCCCCTCTTTGTTGGCTGCATATGTTACAAACAGCCTACAATAAAAGACGGTGTTGATAACAGTGGATTGCACATATTATATACTTCTGGTGTGTTTAATTTGCAACAGACAATTAGTGATTTTATATAATTATATTTATGAGCTCGGTAGATCCTTTTGTGAATGTATATTTGATTAGTTTGATTACAAGTCTGGGTGATTAATGTTGAGTATGCAAGCTATACATCGTGTTACATTCGCAAATTTCATACATCACCTTCCTCCGGCCAACGTGCCGAGCTACACGCTAGTATGTAATTATGGGCATATTATTAGAAAGAAGATCACATGGAGTAAAAGATGGCTGAGCAGAGGTAAAAAGGATAAAACGTACCACGAGATGTTGACTGTAAATCCAATTTTTAGCCCATGCATACACATCGTATTCTCAATAAACAAAACTTCCTCATCATGTCGCTGGCCGTTTCTTATGGTGTTTTGATGACATGACGGGTGATTTCCCTCGCCAGACTAGGACTTGGACTCCCCGTCGCTCCTCTCTACATCGGGGAGATTGCTTCCCCTGGCCAAAGAGGTCTTATAAACACCATTCTATACATTCGCCGTTAACATAGAGATCGTTCTGACTCCATAATTACAGAATATATAAACCGATAAATTCTATTAGACGATTCATAATTAAATCTCATTACGAAAATATCAAATATAACACCCCAAATTCCTCTTCAAAATATCCCAAGAATTCCAAAAAGTGTCACAAAACATATATAACCACTGATCAAATAGTAAACAATGCAAAAAATTATGTTTGTAATAATCCTTAGAAAGACATGAGTGTTTTATAACATACTTAGAACCTGGCTAAACACCAAATAGGTTGGATCAGGACAAAACTTGATTGTTCCCTTTGGTTTACTTTACCCAAACTAATAAGAGGTGCAAACTTGTCACCTTGCCTGTTAGTTCTCGAAGTGTATATATTTATGGGCATATGACTCGAAAGAAGATCACATGGAGTAAAAAATGGCTGAGCATAGGTAAAAAGGATTAAACCTACCACGAGATGTTGACAGTAAATCCAATTAATTTTTAGCCCATGCATACACATCCTATTCTCAATAAACAAAACTTTCTCATCATGTCGCTAGCCGTCTCTTACGGTGTTTTGATGACAGGACGGGTGATTTTCCTCGCCGGACTAGAACTTGGACTCCCTGTCGCTCCTCTCTACATCGCGGAGATTGCTTCCCCTAGCCAAAGAGGTCTTCTAAACACCATCTATGAGGTACATAAGTTATTACTTAAGATGCTCGTAAAAGGTTTTTAATTAACTGTGTTTTACGATGAACATTACCGTTGTCAAGCCGGTCGGTAGGATCAGGCCCGACTGAAGCCAGTGATGAAAACGACTTCCAGACAGTTATTTTGCTTTTAAATCGGTCAAAAAGCCTGTCAAAACAACAAAAATCGGTGGCCTAATCGGTTTTGCGGGTCTTACACAGAAAGTTATCTTTTGGGCCTCTCCCAAACCTTGTTTTTAAAAAATGAAGTATATATACACAGATTTTCGGATATATTAATTGTTAAATTATTAATTATCCATGTATATTGTTGTTATTTATCACTAGTGTATGTATATTGCTATACATGCATTGGTTCCTACTTATATATTTTGCTATCAATTTGTTATATAACTTGTTATTAATTTGTTATACGTACAATTATGTTTGTTCAATCATTAACACTTAGTAGTGGTGATCTCTTGCAGCAGGTGTTCTGGAGCTTGGCGGTATGGGTCATGGGTGGCTGTTATAACGTGTGCCGACACAATTCGAGATCTATCAACAAGCTCACAATGGCGGCCGCGGGTATGGTTAAGTGTCGAATATTAGCCCTGCTGGCAGATGCGAAAAATGCACTTGGTCGAATATTAGCAACATCCGACGAGGTCGAAGAAAGACTTTCGACGGTGAGATCTAGAGGCTGCCTGAATCCCGCCGACAATGGACGACGTGAACTTTGAAGCGGTCCCCATGACATCCAGGTTTTTAGCATTCAGAGAGATCCTTGTCTCGGTCTTGAATCTTGATGCTGCACTTTCTTCAACAGACGATGGGGATCGACCTCTTGATGAGAATTGACTCCTTGTCGAGGCTCTTTGAAATGCCAATTTTTAAACCCGAGAGCCACTGAAGAGTTGAACAAGTGGTGCATAGGGGTCGTTTTCCCTCAGTTTGGGGCCAGTGACTTGGGTGCATACTTACGGAAATACTGTCATTTAAGGTACTAGATCGTACCCCGGCCCGTTGGCCGGTTGCAATATGATCGATAATCATAAATAATAAATACTCCAAGTTTAAATTCTAGTGATATTCTCTTCTTTTATATTCGCGTCATGATTATATGTTAATGCCATGTGAATTAAAAAGTAATTCTATCAATTTTTAAAAATACCAATATAGTTGGCCATTAAGAAAGTCAAACTATTCAATTGTTGAGAAAATAAAAAATGAGCATTCATCATACATATTATTACTTTGTAATCATTGTCTTCTATATATGCAGATTCTGGTTGAAGTTCAAATTATAGGACTCGTGGAAGGAATATCAACTCATAATAAACTTAATGACACAGTATTATAGGTATTCAAAAATGATTGGTAACATTGTTTGTTAAGTTAATTTTTACCATAGGTTTATGATTGATTTGTCTCATAATTTTGCCTTCCATTATCAAATCCCAAATGAAATGTGGGATTTGCAAATCTGTGGCCTCACGAATTTGTGTCCCTTAGCAAACGATGGGTTTGTGCCAACTCCTTGACACTTGGGATTTGGGTGCCAAATCCCACAAACAAACAATACCTAAACTTAACCATATAGGAAAAATAATTTTCACAACAAAGAATTCACCTCATTCTAGTCATAACCATATAGGAAAAATCTTAATTCTGTTGGGATTTGTGGTGTTCGAACCAACACATTCAAAGCGTGATTCTAGTTAGAAGCGTTTTGGTGACCTAGAAGCGTAAAAGCATAAACTTTCAACCTTGAAAATGCTTTGACTGCATTATTGCACAAAATGTAGTCAAAAAGCGTGATTCTGTGTAGATTAGTTTTGATAACCTAAAAGCGTAAGATTTTAAGATTTAAAATGCTATTTATTATTCCCACGGATGTTATTTTTTAAATGATTTATCAAAGAAAAGAAATAATAATTAGTTGAGTCGTGTTTAGTGATAATAGTTTTATTTTTAAATGATTTATCAAATAGAAATATAATAATTAGTTGAGGCGTGAAGAGTGATAATAGTCTCTTACTTACTTGTCAATTATTTAATTATTAAGAAATAACTTTTTTAGAGCAATAGTCACTTTTATAGGGTTTATGCGTAGAGCTTGTTACATTTTTTTTTATTATAACAAATACACATGATAAAAATATCCTCCTTAACTTTTCTCATAGAGCTAGAAATTTTGGATGGAGCATGTTTAGATGGAGAATCTCTATAAATAAGAGTTAGGAAGAGCACAATTAATTGGGATTATGATAATGATGAACAAATTAATGAGTTTTTGTCTATAATATCTTAACCGACCCGGTTTGGCTCATTGGTCCAGTAAAGCAAATGAATTAATGGTTAATGATCCGATCGGTTTAGCCCAGATATATGACAAAACCATTATATTGTGTATATATTAGTTATTTCCAATATCAACAATCTACAAATAATAAGATGGATTGAAGCAAATTAGTACTTTAACAACACACATATATTCCTGATCATTTTTTCTGTTCTCTGGTCAACTAAAATGAGTAAATAACAACAGTCCTTGGTCCATGATGATTTAAGCAAATCAGTAACTGAAGTAAGAGCCACTAAGAGTCTAAGATTGTATCTACGAGCAGCTGATTTAACGAATAAGAAGATGGGACTGGTTTACTTGCAACAAACTAAATTCAAAACCTCCCCGTGAATAAGGCATTGGCAAAGGAGGTGGAGTAATACCGTGATTGTATGCTACTTGTGATATACGTCCTTAATA